TATATATATATATTTTTTTTTTTTTTTTTTTTTTGAGACACAGTCTTGCTCTGCTGCCCCAGCTAGAGTGCAATGGCATCATAGCTCACTGCAACTTCAGATTCCTGGGCTCAAGGAATTCTCCTGCCTCAGCCTTCCCAGTAACTGGGACTATAGGCATGCACCATGATGCCTGGCTAATTTTTTCTATTTTTGGTAAAGATGGATTTGGCTCTTGCTCAGGCTGGTCTTGAACTCCTGAGCTCAAGCAATGCTCCTGCCTTGGCCTCCCAGAGTGCTAGGATTACAGGCATGAGCCACCATGCCTGGCTGATTTATTATATATTTTAATTATCATTTAGTTAAAAGTGTTGTCTAATTATTTGTTTTGCTATTTCCTTGCCTAATGGTCATTTAGAAGTATATTGTTTAATTTCCAAACATTTGGGACTTTTTACTGATTTCCCCTCTATTGTCAGAGATATAGTCTGTATAATTTCAATCTTTTGAAATTAAACTTGATTTATGGCTTAGCATATGGTCAGTTTTAATAAATATTTCTTTCCATGTATACTTGAAAAGTTAGTTGGATACGATGCATGCCAGGTCAGATTTTTAATCATGTTGTTGAAGAATTTGTTCAAATCTCCACTCTGTGGATTTGTCTGTTCTCCTTTCATTTGTTTCATTTTTTGCTTTATATACTTTGACATGATGTTACTCTGAATGCATACAGATTCAGAACTGTTATGTCTTCTTGGTGGATTGACTTTCTTTTATCATTGTATGTCCCTCTTTGCCTCTGTTGATGTTCTTGCCTTAAAAATCAACTTTATCTATATTAGTTTAGCAATGAGCTTTTTGGCTGGGCAGGAGGAGAGGTGGATTTCTGTGTTGTTTATCTTTCCATTTTCTTTCAGTCCTTCTGGGTCCTTGTATTTAAGGTGACTATCTTATAAGCTGCGTATATTTGTTATTTTTAATTCATTCTGTCAATCTGTTTTTTAATTTATTTACACTTATGTACATTAATATAATTACCATATATTATACATTAATATATAATATAATTTATTTACATTGATATGATTACTGATATATTTGGTTTTAAATCCTCCATCTTAATTGTTCCTTCTCTGTCCCACCTGTTCTGTGTTTTTCTTCCCCTTTTTGCCTTCTTCTGAATTAATTATTTTTGGATTCGTAGTTCCCTCAACTTGTTGGTTTTGTATTATTTTACTACTTTTAGTAGTTACCTTTGATAGCAATAAATTAGTACTTTTATTATTTCCCAAACAATGCAAGAACCTTAGAACACTTAAATTCCATTTATTCCCTTTCTGCCTTTGGGTTATTATTATCATGTATTTTAACTCTTTGTGTTGTTAGCCCCGTGCAACAGGATTCTTACTGTTTTATGTAGTCCAGTATTCATTTATGTTTACCCTCATGCTCACCCTTTTCAGTGCTCCCTGTGGGGTCATTTTCTTCTGCCTAAAGAATTCCCTTTAGTATTTCTTTTAGTACAGATTTGTTAGCAATGAATTACCTGAGGTTTTGTTTGTTTGAAACATCTCATTTTCTTCCTGATTGTGTGAGACTGCCTGTCGGACTTCTCTGCCTCCTAATCTTTGCTTTCTACTTACAGCTTTTCACCTTCTCCATCTGTTCGGCTTGGGAGTTGGCAAATGCCCTGTGGGGAAAAGTAGCCTAAGATAATTGTGCACACCTCAGTGGGCTCTCTTCTTGGCCCCTTAAGTGCTGTCTTTTAGCTCTCTGATGCTTCTAGTCAGATGTTGGTTTTGAGTGTAATATGCAGGTGTGTATTTTTTACATCTTTTTTAGTGGTTCTCAGCAAGAAGGTTGGTGTACTATAAGCTAATCTATGGTAGCTAGGAAAAAATGTGCTAGTACTATTTAAATAATAATTTTTTTGATATTATATGTTATATTCACTGGAAATTTGACATGAATTGCAGCCTAGCTGCTCTATTTGTTATAGCCATCTTTCCAGTCATCCCTGTTGTTGCATTTAATTTGTTTCTTTTGATAGCCAAAGTAAATGCTCATCTTATCCAATTAAAACAAGAATCTTCAAAACATTAAATGCAGCAACAAATCTTTTATCCCTTAAAAAATTTTTTCTTTAGTAGGCATCTTCATTATTTATTGATACGTAACAATTTAACCCAACACTCAGTGGCCTAAGACAGTATTTATTATTTCATAGTTTCCGTAGATCAGGAATCTGAGCTTGGCTTAGCTGGTTCCTCCGGTTCTCACAAGGCTACTGTCATGTCAAGGCTCAACTGGGAAAGATCTGCATTCTGCCTCATTCATGTGGTTGTTGGCAGGATTCTGTTCCTTGTGAGCTTTTGAGCAGAGGCCTCCATTCCTCACCAGATGTTGGCTGCAGGCTTTCCTCATTTCCTTGCTATATGAACCTCTCTGTAGAGCATCTCATGACATGGCAGGAGGCTTCATCAGTGAGAGGACAAGTGAGACCTGCCAGCAAGAGAGAGAGTACTAGCAAGACAGAAGTCACAGTCTTTTATAACCTAATCATGGGAGTGACATTCCATCACTTGTGCTGTGCTCAGTTTGTTAGCAACAAGTCACTTGGTCCAGCACACAGGGAGAGTATTATACAAGGGTATGAGGACCTGGAGGCAAGGATCATTTAGGGCCATTTTTGAAAGCTGCCTACCACAGTAACGAAGTCAGAATATGAAGGGCTTTTGTTGATTTTAATTTAATTTTATTCTACAGTAGAGGTGCCAAATTTGTGGGCTGAAGAGTCACTGCTTTGATGTATTTATATGACTGCATTTTCTCACCCATCAAGTCTCTTGTGCCCTAGCCTTGAGGCACACAGACCTGCTGACAAGGAGCTTACTGTTCCAGGAGGGAGACCAGTGGGTAAATGGTCAATTGAAACTCTGAGATGGATCATGACAGGGGACTTTACACAGTGGCGAGCTTCAGAGGATACGAGGTTAGGCACACGAGAGAGAGGAGCAGCAAGGGCCAAGATGAGGAGCCTGAAGGAGGTGGACCAGTTGGAGAACTACCAAAAACTCACACGGATGCCACTGAAGGTGTCTGAGCAGGAGCCCGTGGAATCAAAACCGCACCATAGTGAGATTAGTCTGGCACTGTGGTTTGGAGGGAGTGGGACTAAAGAAGGGGAGAATAGTTGGGTAAATATTATAATAGTAAGTGGTTAATGAACTAGATATTGGGCTATTCCAGTCAAAGGGAAGAGGACTATAAAAGCACAGAATCAGTTTTAACAGCTGGGTCTGTTGCATCCGGGTTCCTGTTTGGCAAATAATCCTCAGATTATTTGAGAGACAGAAACTAAATGCTCCATTGTGGCAGTTTCATCGGGGTATGTTGTTTTATCTTTTTCTATAGCACTTTCTACCTTAATAGAATAGCCATTGGCTCTATAAACCAGCTGAAGCTACTACATCCCCATCTCTGCTGGGGTGGGCTGGGGGTTTCCTAACTAGAGAGGAACATGGCCAATATCTAGTCCCACCCAATCGCCCCTACCAGGAGGTGATAGGGGCCTCTCCCACCTTCTTTCCCCATTCCTACCCTCTCCAACAGTAACAAGTTACTTACTGGGGAAAGGACTGAGGAAAAAACTTAGTGTTCTTACTGCTTGGGCTCCTTCTGTAACAGGATTCTGTGGACGATTAAATAGATGAGTGAATGTGCTTATTTTGCTAAAACATGGGATTGACTGTATCTTCTGGCCTGCTTTGTAAACAGTTATGCCCTGTTGGTTCCTTATTGCCAACCTGTGTAAAAGAATAGGAAAGATGTTGCTAGTGTGATATTTCATACAAAATCTAAAGATCAAAGCATTTTCCTCTTTTCAAATGAGCATAAGCAGTTATAAGGATTTGTCAAGTTGTCTTTGTTTTTATAAATCTGAAACAGCATTGAGGTCAGGGATGAAGAAAGCCAAAGAATTTAGTTTACAACTGTCTTGTTCCATGTAAATGTCATCAAAATAATCAAATTTAGTAACAGATTTGGTGGCAATATTTGTTCAAATCTGTCACTACTTTTTTTTATAGTGAAGAATGAAAATCTGGAAAATTTGGAGGAAAAAGAATATTTTGGAATTGTCAGTGTAAGGATTTTAGTTCATGAGTGGCCTATGACATCTGGTTCCAGTTTGCAACTAATTGTCATTCAAGAAGAGGTAGTAGAGATTGATGGAAAACAAGTAAGATAGTATGCTTATTAATTGGGAATTAAATTGTAAAGCTTTAAATTTTTGCTAGGTATTATGCATGTGTTCAGTTACTTGTTTCTGACTTGATAAGGAATGTTTCCTAATGTTGCCTTTAATCATTTCAATTTTTTGTATACTTATATTAGCATTTGAAGTGTATTTTTTAATTGCTCATATTCATGTATGTTTTTATCATTTAAAAATGTTATGAACACATTAAACAGAGAAAGTAAGTGAAGGGATTGAATTTGGTTCATAGTCTGTTACTATTTCCTCTAAGTCTCTATGTGTAAATGAAATGGAACTGAGATTAAGTTTATAGTAGTACTAAAGCAGACAGGAATATTATTAAAGTTGCAAATTAAGTGCCCCAAAGCGGGAGTGTGGGGCTGGGATAAAGAGTAATTGTCTGTAGGACAAGTTTTTTAGTTACAGAAATCAGGGAAGAAAATTCACTTTTTAATTCTTATGGAGTTGTGCCATTATTTAAAATAAAGAATAATTATTTTTTCTTTGATAGGTTCAACAAAAGGATGTCACTGAAATTGATATTTTAGTTAAGAACCAGGGAATACTCAGACATTCAAACTACACCCTTCCTTTGGAGGAAAGCATGCTGTACTCTATTTCCCGAGACAATGACGTTCTAGTTACCCTTCCCAACCTCTCCAAAAAAGGTAATTTAAGTGACTATTTTTTAAAGTATTAAGGAAATTATTTCTTTAGTTGATAGCTTTATGTGCTATTGAACTTTGTAATTTTTACACTATTTGCAAAAGTTGCTTTACATCTTTAATTATAGTTAATATGTTTGGAAATAAGCCTCTTTAAAAAATACTTTACGACAGGTATTACTTTCTATGTCCGTTTAAGGACTTTCGGAATCTATTTTGAGCCTTAGAATGTCATCAGTGCTGGTTGGATAGTGACATTTTTCAGCAATTATCCACTTTTTCTCTGGGTACTCATCACAAAATATGTAATAAGAATATTGTAAAGGTTCATTTAGAGGACGAAGTATTCATTTTTTCACTGAAACATAGAACTTCTTAAATTTTCGCTTTCTATGTGACAAAATCATAACTACTTTATCCCCCCATGACTGTCTTAGTTTATATCTCCCTTCTGGCATTTAAATCAGTGCACATTCAAATATGTTTATTTTTTTCTCCCGTGGTAAATTGTATGTTCTTATTATCCTAAATGTTACTAGTATAGTGATTTTAGGACTAGTAGGAGAGACACCAACATGCCCCTAGCATTTTGTTAACTTTGCTCTTCCTCCTCAGTAGAAAGTGTTAGTTCATTGCAGACCACTAGCCAGTATCTTATCAGGAATGTGGAAACCACTGTGGATGAAGATGCTTTACCTGGCAAATTACCTGAAACTCCTCTCAGAGCAGAGCCTCCATCTTCATATAAGGTAAATCAAGTATTTGGTGTTATCTTTATTTGGTGTTATCACAAGCACTTATGGTTATGATGAAGAAAATAGGTCCTGGCATTTAAAATGAGGTGGAAACCTCCAGGTTGGAACCATGAAGCAGGCATTGGTGATAATGAACACATTGTGGTGGTTTTAATGTGGTATTTTTAGGTATTCTTGTTTTCTTGTTCACACTTCATTAATAATAATATAGTCAGATCATAATTAAGTTCCAAAATTCCTTCTCATATCCCCGTATTTGTTTGTTCTGCACCTCCTACCTTGTATATACAATGTGCATTATGGGATTTTGTACAGTGATTAAGCACAAATAGTTGAGAATATACGTTCTGGAGTCAGACTGCCTGGGCTTGGAACCTGGTTCTGCCACTTACTGGTTGTGTGATCTTAGACAAATTCTTAATCTCTTTAGCCTGTTTCTTTATCTGTACAATGGGGCACCCACTTAACCTGTAAAGTAGTATAACTAGGTTGTTGTAATAAGGGGTACTACATATAAATATACATTGGTGCCTACTAAGGACTCATATTACTTATGACATTAATACTGCTTACTAGGAAGACATTCATGGGTTCAGAGAGAGTATCTTAGTATCTCTCTATGTTAGCTAGACCCCCTACCCAAAATAATTTCCATTTAAATGATCAGGGTCTATGATTAGTCTCAAAGGAGAAGTTCCCACTGAAGGTCAGGGTTGCTTATTTGGGGTCACTGTAGCGATTTGGATTGTAGCACCCTCACCTTGTCTCCCGACCTCCCCCTGCAGGTCAGCCCCAGAGCAGACTGTCTTCATAGCCCATGCCATCAATGCCCACCTTAGATTCTTCTCTTGCTCTTAAAGAATAGAAACATGTTTTATACACAATGAGCTTCTCATCTGTTCTAAAAGCTACTAATATGTTTTTCTTTCTCCTCTTTCTCTTGTGCAACTACTGGAAACATTTGACTCTGGTACATTTTGTTTATACTGGACTAGCCTAACTAATCTCTTGTCAACTAGCCATTATTTTTCCTTGACTTGTAGTTAGACAACAATATAAATAATCTTAAAGGATATTAACTTTTCTGTGTATATATTATAAAGCATAATTTTAAAAATTATAAATAACTTTATTGAGGTACATTTTAAAATAAAATCACCTGGTTTAAAATATAGTTAGTTTTGACAAATGTAAACACCCATGTAGCCACCAGTACAATCAAAATATAGAATATTTTCATTATACCAAAGCTAAAACATTAAAAAATTTAAAGTTTATTCTTAGAGCTCAGTGAAACTTGCATATCTAATCAAAACTCCTTTTTTAGGTAATGTGTCAGTGGATGGAAAAGTTTAGAAAAGATCTCTGTAGGTTCTGGAGCAGTGTTTTCCCAGTATTCTTTATGTTTTTGAACGTCATGGTGGTTGGAATTATAGGAGCAGCTGTGATAATAACCATCTTAAAGGTGCTTTTCCCAGTTTCTGAATACAAGTAAGTAGTTCTTATTTTGGAAACAGTATTTTTAATAATTAAAAAGTGAGATATTTATTATAGAGTAGAAAATATGAAAATGAAAGGTAAGACAAGTGGGAGGGAAAATAACACCTATTTTTTTTCCTAGCCCATCTTCCAACTTTAGCAAAATTAAAACATATTTATTGCGTACCTATTGTGATCAAGATGCTTAAAGATTCAAATGCAAATAAGACAAACTCTGCTCTTTAAGAATTTAAACTTGGCTGGGCATAGTGGCTCACACCTGTAATCCCAGCATTTTGGGAGGATCACTTAAAGCCAGGAGTTGGAGACCAGCCTGGACAACATAGCAAGACTCTGTCTCTATAAATAAAAAACAAACTTAAACTCTACTAGGGAGAGAAAGGAAACAAATACATATAATGGAAAATGCAATGTGTATGATCAGAGATGGATAAGAGGACTTCACTATGTATTTTCAACTCTAAAGTATCAGTTGAAAATGTAGTTCATTTCATAAGACTAGCAGGATATTCACTACACCATTGTTTGTAATAGAAAACAAAAGCAAAATACAAATCTTCGTAACTGCTTATAAGTGAGGGCTTGACTAAATAATGGCATGCACGTGCAATGGCATTCTCTCTGGCTGAAGAAGTCCAAAATCTGTTAAGTAGAGGGAAAAGTTGCAAAGCAAGATGATTGCGCATTTGGGTAAAACAAAAGTGTTATGTAATAATATGTGCATAAATGCATAGAAAATTTTCAGAATGAGAAAATTTATCTCTACTGAGTGGGAATGAGAGAGCAGGGGTATAGAAACTGACTTTTACTTCCTTTTATATTTGATTTTTTAATCAAAGGAATTATTTTATAATACATTTTAAAATGAATTATTGTTAGCATTTCCACAAGTTAAACCATTAATCATTTTAGTTATCTTAATAGAAAAAAATCTCAGTGGAGATGACCAGTTTTCAGCTTAGCTAGATTACATTGTACAGATTTCATGTAAAACTGAAAACCAGGTTTGCAATACACTTTATCAATGGCAATTGTACTGAGGGTACGTTCTGGTAGAAAAAGATTTAATCAATACAGAACTGTAGAGAGAAATAACTGTATCTCTTCACTTCTCTGTTCTTCAGTTCTTATTTTTCTACCTAGAGGTAGTCTACCCCAGGTGGTGTCATCATAGCTCACAGCAACCCCAAACTCCTAGGCTCAAGCAATCCTCTTGCCTCAGCCTCCTGAGTAGCTGGGACTACAGGTGGACGCCACAGTGCCTGGCTAATTTTTCTATTTTTAGTAGAGATGGGGTCTCACTCTTGCTCAGGCTGGTCTTGAACTCCTGGGCTCAAGCAATCCTCCCACCTCAGCCTCCCAGAGTGCTAGGATTACAGGCGTGAGCCACCGCGCCCGGCCCAACCATTATAAACTTTTAAATAGAATGAACCAAAAGCACCTGACCTTAGGTTTATATTTAATTTATAACCTTGAAGTAGCCCTACCAAAATATGGGCAGAGGAAATACTTAATTTTGATAGTAATCAATCATCTTCTATTTCAGAAGAATTCTTCAGTGGGATCAAATGAATGTTATACCTGTGACAGCTATCAACTTATATCCAGATGATCCTGAGAAAACAGCTGAAAACCTTGAAGATAAAACATGTACTTAAAACACCACCTCAAATCGTGGAATTTGCCACTTGAATATAATTTTTTAAAAATCATTAAGAATCGGTTTAAACACTAGAGAAATCGTTAAACTCCTAAGACTGCCTGAAAATTGACCTTTACAGTGCCAAGTTAAAGTTCACCTTATTCTCTAAAAGGGCTGGCTATTCAGATGATGAATTGTTACAGAAAATTTAAACAAAGTGGAAAAGAAGATATGTGAAGAGACTTTGAAATTACCAAAAAAAAATGCCATGTGCCAATAACATTTCAAGGTGCCTTTGTTAAGGAAATTATATCCACTTAATTACTATAATATATAAGACTTTATGGAAAGCACTTTATAAAATTCTAATTTAAAAGCTCAAGAACTTAACACTTATTTTTTATTCAGTACAAAGTGCCTTTATACTAAGTATATGACTCAGTATAAAATCATTGAAGTGTATTGTGATTTGATTGTATCCTGTACCAAGACTACTTGAATGCACCAGGATTTAAAAGTAGTGACACGTTCTCACTCTAAAAACTTTTTTGAGGAAAAAAGTACAGCTGTTTTGGTTATACATAAAAATATATAAAATATATAAAATAAAATATATAAAATCTTTGCCCAGGAGAAATTACCTCACAGCTCCTTTCATTTACACTGGCTGAAACCAAGGCTCAAATCAGTTGAGTCCATCGATACCATGGCATTGGAGTGTGCCCTTGGTCTTGTGGTTCTAGGTATAGTGCTATTTACCGTACCAGTGTTTTATCTTACTTTTTAAAAACATCACATATATTGACATATTTTACAATGTGACCTAGTACATATACCTTATCTTTATGTAATACTTTCTGTTGTTAACTTTTTTTAATTGCAACCTGTCATTTTAAAACCCTTGTCCAAGTAAGTAATGCTTGGTTTTGAAACCACTTTATATTTAGACTAAATAGATATGCGTGTTGCGGGGAAGGATGACAGTTAGTAGAATGAAGGAGTGATGTTTCTTTTTGCCTAGCTGTTTTTAATTATTACATTTTACAGAGCTATTATTTCTATCTCCATATTGTAGAAAAATAAATAATAGCATGCAATTTATAATTTGATCCTAAAGTTACCAGCTAGTAACACTTTTTCTTTATGCTCTTCCTCATTACATAATTGTTAAAAAGCATCAGTTCTAACTCCAAATGATCACAGGGTCTTATTTCCTCCATTAACCATAATCTTAGATTCTAGCAAGGAAAAAAATTTAGGAGGCTACATGGTCTACTGGAGAGTATAGGCTTTGCAGTTCACAGATTCCTATCCTGACTCCTCTCCTTCGCAGTGAGACTTGGGACCACAGCAAGGTACTCAATCCCTTGAGGCTCTGGTTGGGAGGATACAATAAGTTATTTTCTTCTAAGTAATCATAAAGGGAAATCTTATCTAAAACTTCATACCATTAGCTTTCATTTCACTTATTAGCTTTTATTTATACCATTAACTTTAGCATGCATGAGTTTAGTATGCATGAGTTGATGAGTTTAATTAGAGTATAATGAGCGGCACAGGCTTAGAAAAATACCTACTTGCCTATAGTGCAGCCTCTTACATAGGCAGAATAAAAACTAGTCAGGCAAGACTATTTTTTTTCCTTTTTAAATGCACAGAAAAAGAAGTCTTTAAATCTCTCCCAGAACGAAGGGAAGCTACTGTAACACCTGGTGGGAAAGAAGGCACATTGGGCCGGGCTCATGCTTTAATTAGCTACTTGTGTAAAAATGTTTACGGATTTTAAGTTATCCACTGGAACCTAAGAAGCGAGGGCCAATCTTATTCTTCCTATGAGTAAGAACAGCAGATAGCGGGAGAGAAGATGGTATACCTTGAAGTGCATTTAACACAGCTTTCCTAGGCCCTGAATCAAGACTGGTGGTTTGCTATTGTAGCTGTTGGTTTTAAACAAGAGCCAAGAGTGATGTCTTCCTTGCGGTCTGTTGGCTACTCAGTATCCCAATATGAATGGCTAATTCAGTTGGAAAAAACATAGTCTAGGAAAAAAAAAACAAAACAGAAAAAGAAAAGAAAAACAAAGACAGCTTTCCAAGCTAAGTAACATTTGTGTTTGTTAGCATTTGTGATCAGTGAAATAGAAATCTGGTAATGTTAAGTAAAACAAATTTTCAGCTTAAAAATATTGCCTTTATTCAGAATCATAAAGGTTTTTTAAAAATCTTACCATTATGAAAGCTTAAAAAAATATAGCACTCAGTGTAATGAATTACTGCATTTAATTATCATTTCAAATACTTAAGGCAGACTTCTCATATGTGAGAATTTAGCATGATCCAAACTCAAATATCCATTTCTCATATCTTTCAATGTCTGCAGCAGATACTGATTTAGAAACCTTTTTTAAAGCCATTTCAAAATCCTCCATTGTTGTAGGCATGTGCATTTCTTCTTTTGAAAGATTTCGGATTTCTTCTGGGGTCAAACCTTCAATACGCCTTCTCATTGCCATCAAAGATGCATCCCTGCATTTTTAAGTTTAAAAAAAAAAAAAAACCACAAAGTGTTATTTTGGTTGAATTAAAACCTGTGAGATTTTCAGAAAACAAAAAACCTGTGAAAAGAAAAATTTTCAATGCATCTGTTGTAACATTCTCTAATTATGATCTTATCACATATACATATGTAGTACTGTATATTCTTATTGGAATACAAGGCCTGTTGTGGTTTTTAGCAGTTAAATCTTCCATGTTGAAAATAAGGATGCTGATCAATTTAAATAATTAATATTGAATATAAAAGCCCAGAAAAAGAGTACAATAAAGAAGCTAGCAAGTGAATTTCACTATAAGTATTCAATAAAATAAGGAATAATAAACATCACACAGACAGAAGAGAACCTGTTAACCAGAAAATTAAATATTTTCTCCATGTAGCATAAAAGCCAGATGATCAAGTTAAGTGGTCTCTCCTTTTCCCCTCTGTGTGCTTTACAAAAAAAAAAAAGAGAGAAACTTCAGATTCTCTCTTCAGGCAAGTTCCTCTTGCCTTTCACCAAGTTGCATCTTTAAAAGCAGCCACCATTTATGCAAAGGGATAGCAGGATACCTGCTTTATGTACACACGTGCTATCTGTAATCCTCATAACCCTGTGTGGTATGCTCACTTTAGAGATGAGGAAACTAGTGCAGTCAAGCTCCTGGTTAATAAGCATCTGAGCTAATAAATTAGGACAAAACCTACTTAAATCAGCTGGATTATAGAAAGTCTTTCTTTCAACTGCTATTCCTATCACATTTAGGATACAGTCACTGAAAATGAGACTGTACTTTGTGGGTGTGCCAGGTCAATATATTTCACAGTCATTTCCTATTTCACAGGTGAAGGAATGCACCAATTTTTTAAATCCCAATTACACAATTACACAATTTGTGCAATTACACAATTGCACAAATTAGCATAGCTTCTTGAACTTGTAGCTTTCAAATGAACTGTAGACTCTTCACTGACATGAAAGATACCCAAATGTCTTATCAGGACCTGCTAATACTAAATTAAACCCAAAACTTGTGACTCTGACTATATGTGAATCTTTATTCTTCATCTATCTTAATTCAACATAAAAACTTCACGTTAGAAGTTTACACCCACAAAAACCTACGTTTCCAAAATAATTCATACCTGCACACGTTGGTAATGTCCGCACCTGAATAACCTTCCATGTTTTCTGCTATACTTGCAAGATCAACATCATCAGCCAATTCCAGCTCACGTAGGCTTATTCGTAATAACTCCTCCCTGCCTTTTGCTAATGATAGAAACAAATTTAAAAATGTAAGCCTTCAATATAAACATAGGGTATTATTATTTCTCGAATCTACATTGTGTAACGAGTTGTTTTCCAACTCTTAGAGCTTATTTGCTTAACATTTCAAGAGCCATACATCTCACTGAATTTTTATTTCTTAGTATCAAGGTAGACAGCCAAACTACTAACAAAAGGGAAAATATTCCACATTTATCTCCTTAAGGAAAGTTAATACCAAATTTTACATTCTCTAAACAAAACTACCTAAAAGTTAACAGGAGCTTTCTGACAAGATTTAAATGAAGATACCTGATGGTAAAGGAATATAGATTCGTTTCTCAAGACGTCGTCTTAAAGCCTCATCTATATCCCAGGGAAAATTAGTAGCTGCCAGAACCATAACCATTTTGGATGGGTCATCGTTCTCAGAAGCACCTCCAACACCTAAAATCAGGGGGTAAGAAGGGGGAGAGAGAAATATTAAGTTGGATTGTACCAAATAAAGCTCAGTCATTTAAAGATCATCAAATATTTAGCACAACAATACAAGGTAGTAGTCTTTGAGCTGCCTTAAGATTTAGACAGCTAACTGGTACGTATGTGAATTTGTAATCCAAGGAAAACAAGTTTTATAGTATGCAAAAATATGACTCAAAACAGATTTAATCAAAACACAGTTCAGCTGAACTACATACCGACTTAAAATTTTTTTCAAAAGCATACATAACCTCTAAGTCCAATTTATGTGTATTTACTTCTATTTCAATTTCATGGCTAAAAATAAGAAGTCACTATACATGCCAAGCAATGTCCTGTGGGTGTTATTTCTGACATGCCACCACTGTCAGTGTACTGAATTTATTGCCATCAATCTCAGGGACTACTTGCCAGCCCCTCCAGTGCACCTGGAGTTACGAACACCTATTAAAAGCCGTGGGTTAGCACTATGGGTGGAGCTCGACCCACTGGAGCTGGAGACACCTAGCACCCTCCCACCCCAAGTCAGTTTACGTGTACTCACGTACGTACCATCCATTTGAACCAGCAGCTCTGCTTTCACCCTTCTGCTTGCTTCATGCTCTTCAGAAGTCCCTCTGCGACTACAGATGGAATCTATCTCATCAATAAATATGGTGGCTGGAGAATAAAACCGAGCCTAAAGAAATCATGCAACATGGAGTTTTTATTTCATTTTAAAATAATCTACAGGTTAACAATTAGAAAACAGCTGAGGAGGCTGACACACACTGCTCATCTCTCCCTTTTACCCTAATGTTTGGGGGGAGGGGGAGATGACAGAATTAGAACAGCTAAAATGTAGCTTCCAATGCAGACTTACATACTTACATCATAATTCTTTTGTTCCATTCAATAATATTACTGGCTTTATATATTTATCTGAGTGATATAAAGACAGGATTATCCTGTATACTACAATGATATAAATAACTATGGTAGGTAAACATTTACAGATATTGGTAAATGTTCTGAAATTCTAAAAAAAATTTTGGTTAAAAAGAACGATTACCTGAAATAGAATCACATAGATTCCCTCCAAGAAATTCTAATTAAATTGCCACATTTTTCATTTGACTAATAACAGGTACATTTTAATATTCTTAAGTAGTCAATTAGAAGAGTCAATTTACATATCCCAAATTTTTTTTTTTTTTTTTTTTTTTTTTTGAGACAGAGTCTCACTGTGTTGCCTGGGCTAGAGTGCCGTGGCATCAGCCTAGCTCACAGCAACCTCAAACTCCTGGGCTCAAGCAATCCTCCTGTCTCAGCCTCCTGAGTAGCTGGGACTACAGGCATGCGCCACCATGCCCGGCTAATTTTTTCTATATATTTTTAGTTGTCCGATTAATTTCTTTCTATTTTTAGTAGAGATGGGGTCTCGCTCTTGCTCAGGCTGGTTTCGAACTCCTGAGCTCAAACAATCCGCCTGCCTCGGCCTCCCAGAGAGCTAGGATTACAGGCGTGAGCCACCGTGCCCCGCCTAAAATTCACCATTTTAAAGTATACAAATCAGTGTTAGTATATTCACAATGTTGTGTAACCATCACCATTATCTAACTGCAGAACATTTTCATCACCCCAAAAGATAATCAATATTGCACTGCCCTCTAGCTCCTGGTAACCACCGGTCTACTTTATGTCTTTACAGATTTGCCTATTCTCAACAATTCATATAAATGGAACCATATAATATGTGGCCTTTTGTGTCTGGCTTCTTTCATTTAACATCTTTTCAAGCCTTAGTTATGTTGCAGCATGTACAGTACTTCATTCCTTTTTATGGCTGAATAATATCCGCCATGTTTATTTTTCCACCTTCCACCTTTATTTCTTCCACAAACAAAGTAACAGGGAAGATTAACTTGATCCATTAAATAATAGGTCTTAGTCAAGTATTAATCGAGTAAGTAGCTAAGACTAAACAGTATCACCCTTCTCTTGAGATTTAGGAAGCAATTTGTTATAGTAACTAAAGAAGTTAGTTAGTTTATTTATTTTTATTTTCTGAGACAGAGTCTGTTGTTTGGGCTAGAGTGCCATGGCGTCAGCCCAGTTCACAGCAACCTCAAACTCCTGGGCTCAACCAATCCTCCTGTCTCAGCCTCCTGAGTAGCTGGGACTACAGGCATGTGCCACCATGGCCAGCTAGTTTTTTCTATTTTTAGTTCCTCAGCTAATTTTTTTTTCTATTTTTAGTAGAGATGGGGTCTCGTTCTTGCTCAGGCTGGTCTCGAACTCCTGAGCTCAATCGATCCTCCCACATTGGCCTTCTGGAGTGAGTTTATTTTTTTACTTTATAATTAACTGGGAATTTTAGAAGTTACTTGTTAGGTTTTTAGGCCTAGCAGGATCCAGCAATTCAGATGTCCTCAAGAATCTTTGTCTCTGACTTTTGGCTCTCTTTACCTCTGGGTTGGCTTTGACCCTAGGCCTGTGCAGCATATTTTTTTGTTTGTTTTTTGTTTTGTTTATTTTAAAGACAAGGTCTCACTAAGCCCAGCCTGGGATGCAGTGGCTATTCACCGGCATGATCATAGTGTACTATAGCCTCAAACTCCTACCCTCAGGAGATCCTCCCACCTCAGCCTCCCGGGTAGCTGGAACTACAGGTACACACCACCATGCCTGGCTTTTAAGCCTTATTTTTATTATTATCCTTATGGTAATCCCAGAGAAATTAGCCCTCATTTTGCTGTTGTTCCAGTGAAAGTCCAAAGATTAGTATCTGGCCAGTTTTGAGTCATGTGCTCATGCCTGAACCCATCATTTTGGTCAAAGAATTGGAGTGATTTTACTGGCCAGGCCTGAATAATATCCCTGGAGCTCCAAGTAGAGTTGGACTCTTTTGAAGTAGTGGAATAAGAATGAAAGAAGAATGATTTGCAAATGAAAAAAAAGGCCTCTCTTAGTGCTGTGCAGGCAGAACCAATTGGTATCTACTACAGACCTCTCTATACAGTACCTTCCTGGGCCAACAAAAGCCAATTTTGTATGTGTCATATAGAAAAAGTCCGACCATTCTATACACGCTCGGTATTTGGGAACAATCAGTCTTGTTGTTTTTGCTTGATATGGCAACAGACTGAAATTTTAATTTTTGTTGATGTGTAGGGATTGCTGGTAGATGGTTCCTAACTAAAATTTCAATTGAAAATTTTCTTGGATGCTTTAATGATGATAAGTTCATTCTTTCCCTTCCATTTCTTAAAAAACAAGTACAAAAATTTTTATACATAGTACCTAAAACCTAAGTAATGACTCTATGAAAACTGAAACTATCCCTCTGGAAGAAACAGATGGCTTAGAATTCAAATTATCAACCAGAAAAGTAGGATTTCAATATTTGGATTTTCCAAGTGAACAGACTAAAACCAAATACATACTGGGGAGGCATGGTGTTTCCAACCTCTTAGAGAATAATACTATAATGATTCAAAGAATTGACAGACCCAGTACAATTGCCTGCTTAAGTCTAATGTTCATTTGCCATTATGGACTCTTATTTTTAGAAAAATCTTTAACATGCTGTTTGTTCATCCAAATGCTATTTTCTAGAAATCTTGGTCATCGTTCTGGGTTTAAACTTTCTTATGGAGTGATTCTATATTGAATATTTGGTTTAAAAAGCGATTAATAATAAACTTCTTAGGCCAGGTGCAGTGACTTATGCCTGTAATCCTAGCACTCTGGGAGGCTGAGGCAGGAAGACTGCTTGAGCACAGAAGTTTGAAACCAGCCTGAGCAAGAATGAGACCCTATCTCTACTAAAAATAGAAAAAATTAGCCAGGTGTGGTGGTGTATGCCTGTAGTCCCAATTACTTGGGAGGCTGAGGGAGGAAGATCACTTGAGCCCAGGAGTTTGAGGTTGCTGTGAGGTAGGCTGATGCCACTGCACTCTACCCAGGGTGACAGAGTGAGACTCTGCCTGAAAAAAAAAAAAAGAAAAAATTCCTACATTAGGAAATACACCAAATAATTCTTAAATAATAACAGCTAATATTTATTGAGCCCTTAAGAGTTAGGCTTTATATTAAGCATTTACATGTATTAGCTCCTCTCACTCTCCTAACATTACAGAGGTACGTCCTATATTATTGTTCTCTTCTTTATAGATAAAGCAACTGAGAATCAGAAAAGGAGAGGAATTTGCCCACAGTTAAGCAGCCAAGAAAGTGACTGAAGTGGATTTGGACCCAGACCACCTGACTCTAAAGACTTCACATTTAACCATTTACTCTATTTAGCTTACTTTAAAAAAAAAAAAAAAAAGCCTGATGATGGCCTGGTGGCTCATACCAGTAATCCCAGCACTTTGAGTGGCTGAAGCCGGAGGAAGATCACTTGACCCAGGAGTTCAAGACCAGCCTGGGCAACAAAGTGAGACCTTGTCTCTACAAAAACAAACAAACAAAAACACAAACTAACCAGGCATGGTGGCATGCACTTGTAGTCCCAGCTATTCAGGAGGCTGAGGCAGGAGGATCATTTGGGCCCAAGAGTTTGAGGTGGCAGTGAGCTATGATCACACTAATGTACTCCAGCCTGGGCAACAGAGTGAGATCATGTCTCAAAAAGTAAAGGCCTGTTTATTCTGGAATATTGGCAATTTACTTTTGTTTCTTCTCAAGCAATGGGCAAACTACTTTTTCAAAATGATCTGGCCAGGCGCAGTGGCTCCTGCCTGTTATCCTAGTGCTTTGGGAGGCCAAGGCAGGAGGATTGCTTGGGGCCAGGAGTTCGAGACTAGTCTGAGCAAGAGGAAGACCCCAACTGTACAAAAAAGATAGAAAAATTGGCCAAGCCTGGTGACATACGCCTGTAGTCCCAGCTACTCGGGAGGCTGAGGCAGGAGAATCGCCAGAGCCCACGAGTTTGAGGTTGCAGTTAGTATGATGATGTCACTGCACTCTAGCCCGGGTGACGGAGGGAAACCCTATCTCAAAAAAAAAAAAATGGCAGCAAAATGATCTAAGAGGTTCTCCATTAGATTCCTATTGTGCTATGGACTATGAATAAGCCATTAAGAACCTTTTAAACTTCGCCTTATGGCAAATGAATTGTCATAGTTGAAGGAGAAAGAAGAGGGGAACCAAAACAGAAAAAAGCCTTTTCAAAAAATGGATAACCTGAAATTGTGAAAGTTTTAGATTTCTTGTTTTATTTTGAGCTTAGGAAGGAAGATCTGATATGATGGCTTTTGTCCATTATGATCAAGAATTCATGTCTTTGTCACTATCCACATAATGGCGTAACTCTGTCCTAATACATTAGACATGTTCTAATATGTTCTAATGACATAATACTCTGTCCTATACTGTTTCTTAGAGGCAAGACTGATGTAATCAGTGAAGCTTAACAAAGTCTGAAGTTTAATAGGCTGTTGAATTCAATTAAACACTCTACCAGAACTTGTTAAATTACATTTCTTCTACTGGTACTAAGACTTGCACAGGTGGAAGAAAGAAAAGGAAACTCAAAGTAAGAAACAAAACTAAATCCAAAGATCAGGTCATTAAACTGAAGGTATTTGGTGTAGTTAATAGATTGGAGGTGACTTAAGTTCCAGAACTACTTATGATTCTCACCTTTTGGCACTGCTGATAAAATACTGCATTTACTATGTTATAACTAAGCCTATTGATTTAAAACACATAATTTCAGATCCCTATAGCACATTAGTAATGCAGGTCCCATATTGTGAGCATGCTCATCAACTAGCAGATATGGATCTACTCTGGAGCAAAGCAGACAAAGAGAAACTCAAGTTATTCATGTTTGTAAAGGATTCTAGCTTCCAGGACACAGGAATCACACTCTGGGCAGAATGTCATCCTGCCTAGCTATTCCATATACTGGAGACAGTTACAACTCACTGTCCCCCGCCAGAGAGGTAAAGAATCATTAGAGCTATCTCAAACATTCACCATTTCAAACAGAAGACGAACAAGCTTCTCAGACTCTCCTCTGTACTTGGAGGTCAGAGTTGATGAAGAGACATTGAAGAACGTTGTCTTGCATTCTGTGGCCACTGCTTTGGCAAGGAGGGTCTTCCCAGTGCCAGGTGGACCAACCATCAACACTCCCTGTTGAGAGTATAATAGCATAAGCAAAGGATTTATCTGTCTTGTTCTAATTCATGAGAATTTCATTACTAAGTATCAACTTTCCACCAATTTGTATATAATATTAAGACATATAAAAGACAAAAATAAACAAAAAGATACTATCTCATAAATTTACTCTGTCCATTACAAAAGATAACCACATTATAAAAAATTTGGAACTCAAATACAGAAAAAGTAGTTTATAATATCAATACCCTAACAGAAGTACCATTAGCATCTGGATGTATTTTCTGCTAGTCCTTTTACTCAGACCAATTAGGTTTTTGTTTTGTTTTGTTTTTATATAGTTTACTCAAAGTATGTCTATAATTCTGTATCTTGCTTATCACTTAACACTTAAAGGAGTTTTAAAACTAGTAATAAATGCAGTTACCGATTAACACATTTTCCAAATCCACGGAAGTTTTACTGAGAGTTTCTTTTTAGATCAGCCCATTACTTTACAAAGTAACTCACCAGATGCAGATATTTCGCAATATTTCTTAAGAACAATCCCCAAAATATAGGTTACAAGTTATGCAGTATGACACATAAAATGAAGTATTTTTGCAATAGCTGGCTAGGTCATATTTACAAATACAAGCTAATTCTAAATAGGGTAGATTCTAAATTCTAACTGCTGTGAATTCAACTTTCCAAAGATCACATGATACCTATTTCTTATTTGGAAACTTTACAATAGCTTTTAGTCTAAACAAAATTCTGAATAGCACAACATATATTTTTTAATTTAAAAATGTCCTTACTCCACTTTCTGTCTCCACTTTTCCTAACATTGATAAATATTGGCTCTCTATAGCAATGCACCGCCATTCACTTTGACAATGCCGTCCTGGTAATAAACTTACTTTCCATGGTCTCCTAATGCCCTTAAAGAATTCAGGCATCCACATCGGTAACACCACAGCTTCCTTAAGCAACTTTTTAGCTTCTACTAAATCAGCGATATCATCCCTGAAAGAGAAGATATTTTATCAACAGCCCCTTAGATTATATATTTAACTCTATGCAGTCACTCTTTAGAACCAGTGGGAGCATATGATTTTACCCCACTGACAGAATGCTAATCTCTCTGGGCACTAGTGAGCTAACACACTGTGATGAGGCCCACCACGTGAACCAGGATATATAAAGAACACAATCTTGTTTTCAGTTTCTGGCAGTAATGGTTTTCAGATTGGCTCATGAGAATATAGGACTACAGGTCCACTCTGAAGTGTTATCGTGCCATCTCATTTTAAATTTCTGCTCTTATGAGGCTACCTCTGTAACGTCCATGATTTAGAAATAAAAAGCCCATTGGGGGGAAAAAGGCATTAAAACTAAAAAAGGGCACAGAGCACAGAAAGGTTGCAATACTGCTACTTTGCCTCCAGCTCTAGTAAGAGGTAGGCACCAAGGTTAAAGAGTAAAATAGAGATTGCTATGAAGTCATCCACAACCATTGGAACATCTACTACTACTACTGCTACACACGGCAATTTTTGTTAAGAAAATGTGTTTCCATTGTATAAATATCAAATGTCCCCCAAAATTTGTAATATCACTCAAAACTACACCTAATAATCATTAAGGTTTTAACAGAAAATATATAACAGAATATTCCTAACTTTGTGGGAAAGTGGGCTTTCACAATTCATTGTGATAGGTTACAGATCTTTGACTAGATATATAATAATATTAATAAAGTTGAAGACCACTACTCTAATAGAAAACAGAAGCACCACTTATAGGATGCTATAGACAATAAGCAACACATACACATAAAAAGCATTGCCTTTTCACCATAAGAGGATGCCCCCAAAAGATGACATTTCTGTGATCTTATTCCCATTTTGTATATAAATTTTTATTAATTAAAATAATCTCAGACAAAAAAAAGGTACAGCCTGAACAAAGAAAAGTTTTTCATGATGTGTCATGCTCATGTTGTATATACTCTGGTTTGTCCCCAAGGACTGATCTTCAGTGCATGCACACATTTGTTTCATTTTCTCTTCTGAAAAGTATCATTAGCACTAATTATTTTGTTGTGATATGACTTACCATCGAACATTGGGATTCTGGGAAATTATATCTCTTTCCAAAGCTTCTACTAGGTCCTTATCATATCCCGTACTATCAAATTTATTTGTCTCTGGTTCTGTAACTGCAGCAGGTGATTTATTCTATATTGGGGGAAAAAAAAATAAGAGCTTTTGATTAATTCAAAAATTATATTTTGTTTCTGTGAGTAAGAAATAAAGATTGGGGTGGTTGAGGTGGCTCACACCTGTAATCCTAGTACTGAAAGGCTGAGGCAGGAGGTGATTGAGTTCAGGAGTTCGAGACCAGCCTCTGCAAGAGCAAGACCCTGCCTCTACTAAGAATAGAAAAATTAATAGGGCATTGTGGTATGTGTCTGTAGTCCCAGCTACTCGGGAGGCTGAGGCAAGAGGATCCCTTGAGCCCAGGAGTTTGAGGTTGTAGTGAGCCATGATGACACCACTGCACTCTACCCAGGGTAACAGAGTGAGATTCTGTCTCCAAAACAAAACAAAACAAAACAAAAGATTGGACTCAAGTGATATTATTTAAAAAGCTAATACACTAGTATCAGTGTATTACACTAATACACTAGTACAAGTAACAAGGATAAAATAAAAGTCTCTAAGTCACTCTTCTATATCAATATCAGTTTCATACTCAGTTTTTATTTTTACAGAAAAGAGTGTGGCAAAAGTTATGAAACAAAAATAACAAAAATGACTATGTAAATGAACTGGCTAACATCAAAAAATTAATACTGAGATTAACTATGGTCACTAGTTCAATGTCAGATATGTATGACATTTATCTCAATGCTTTAGAGGAGATAAAAGACAGATGGCTTACTTAGTTAAGACTATATGGCTCAATCTTTAACTATCAACTTAGTCCTCAACAATGCTCCTAACAACATCCATTTTCATTATTCCCACCACCCTCCAAAAGAGACATCTCAGTTCTTAGGTGAGATTCCTCTCATTCTCTGTGATGACAGTCATTCGGGCCATGGTTTCCAAACTGTATACCAAGGTACCCAGGGCATGATGGCAAACCTTGCAAGGCACTGCAGGACAGTTTAAATTTTTGAGGGAATCACAGCAATATCTGTTGAACACTGTGTGAACTGCCAGCTCAAGGTAGTTCACAATTCCTACTGCTATATTCTTTTTAAATAATATCATATTTTTGTGAAGCTGGGTTTTGGAAGTTGCTGTGATAAAAGATATAATGAGAAAATCAATGTGGAAGAGGAATGAGGGTGGAACGTCCATTCTCACTGCAAGGTTTGAGAAACTGCAGTGTCCAACAGGTGTTAAGCTGTCAGGACATAGATAAGTTGTTTGAACCTAACTTCTTCATAAATGGATGGGTATTCTTTTTGGCCTAGAGGTGCTATATAAAAATTACTGAGATTTATATGGATTTTATGAGTGAAGAAAATTTATGAAACTTTGCATTAGGATAAATAATCATTTACTATGTCATGTACTAGAATTGTTACCCAATCCCCATAACATTTTTGTTGCACATGACTCCTTTGTCAATTGGTGCTAATGCCATTCCTTATGTCTAGACTTACCCATATCTGTGATATTCAAAGTCTTAGCATCTGTCTCATGATTTGCACATTCAGCCTCCAATACTAACAAAAGATTCAATGAAGGTACTATATAACACTTCAAAGAGGAGAAGGTAATCTTTTCTTCCAAGTATATACAAAGCTGTTACTCATTTACAGATATTTAACAAGTATCTATTCTGTGCTAGCAGTTATGGGGACTAGAAAGAAGACACTGTCCCTGACTATCAGGAACATACAATGTAAGCTCAGGAAGACACAAATAAAAGGCACTTTCTATTAATAGTTCTCTTTCTTTTCTCCCATAGAACACAGTGCTGAGGGAATGTTTGCAGACAAAGCAAAACAAATTTAAGCTAGGACAAAAGGAGAAACAGTGCTATAATGGATCAGCCAAAGGGAGCTATGGAATTTTGAATGTTGACATATTTAATGGGGTTTTATTTAATTAGTTGAACTAGTACAATTTCTTTTATATACACATCTATTTAATAATTTGCTCTAAGTGAAAATACTAACAAGTAGGAGGTGGAAAAAATAGTAAAGGGGTTAAAAAGAACCTACACTCCTTTTCTGATGCTCAAAACAAAATTGCACAGATGGACCAATTAACCAGAAGGTAAGTCCCTGGGTTTAAAACCAGGTGTTTTTCTGTTCTGTTTTTGTTTTTGCTTTGAGATAGAGTCTCGCTCTGTCACCCCAGTTAGAGTGTAGTGGCATCATCATATCTCACTGCAACCCCAAACTCCTGGGCTCAAGCAATCCTCCTGTCTCAGCCTCCCAAGTAGCTGGGACTGCAGGAGCACGCCACCATGCTCAGCTAATTTTTCTATTTTTTTGTAGGGACAAGCTCTTGCTATGTTGCTCACGTTGGTCTTGAAATCCTGGCCTCAAGCAATCCTCCCGCCTTGGTCTTCCAAAGTGCTAAGATTAGAGGCGTAAGCCACTGCGACTGGCCTAAAAAACAGTTATTTTTAAAGCTGATGAAATTATAAATACAAATCCATTCCTCACTTAAAACAGTTACTTAAAAATGACAGTCAGGCTTTCACTTACAGGAAGATGGAGCAGACATACTCCTTCCCACTAAATAGAACTAAAATCCTTGGACATTATATAAAAAACAACTACAAGACATTGAAAGACATAAAGAAGGCAGTAGACTGCCTAAGGAACTCAGACAGGCATGAATTCCCTGGGATTTCTTTTTTTTCCATATGTCCAGACTTGGGGCTGAAGAAACCAGCAACCTGGAAACAGAAATATGGACAAATAAAGCCCCAACAGAAGCCTGATTTCTCTAGCCAAAGGACCAAGAAAGGCGCAGCCTAGCAAGATAGACTCTTTTTTAAAAAATAATTTAAAGAGGTTTATTCTGAGCTGAGTGTGTGTGACTGATGGCCTGGAGCACATGTTTTCAAGAGGCTGTGAGAAAATGTGCCCCAAGACAGAACATTTAGACAATAATACTCTACTCGAGTCAAGTACCACAAAAGAGCTGTGGCCCCAACCCCACCCAGGGCAGCAAAGGCCAAGTGGGCAGCCTAGACTTTTCACCTTCCTGAGTCTGTAATGAGGCACCTCAAACCCCCACCAGGGTGCTATCAGAGGCTAAGTAAGAACTTTCATTCCACTGAGCAGTAACAAGAACCCCTGTCCCACCCCACTGCTCCCACCCCTCGTTCCCCCACCCCCAGTCAGTAGAGACCAAAGAGGGAACCTGGACTTCCACCCCCACTCAGCAGTACTGAGGGACTGGGGAGGTGTCAAAGGAGGACTAGTAGAGAGTCAAGATGAGGCCACTCCCACCACAGTGTCACTGCAGAGCACGTAGAACTTTCACCAAAGCTCAGCAGTAATGAGAAGACCCCTGCCCCTACTCAGGTGTCAACAGAGGCCAGCTGGGGAACCTCAGCTGCTACCTCCACTGGGTGATGGTGGCACTCCTACTTTCCCTGCCAGAGCAGTGTCAGAAGAAGTAAGCTTAGCAGTTCAACTGAGATCTAGAATCTCATAACATAATATGAAAATGCATACGTTTCAAATGAAAACCACTCATACCAAGTACCATGAAGATCTCAAACAAAATGAAAAAAGACAATCAATAGATGCCAAGACCAAGAGGACAGAGATGTAAGAGTTTTCTGACAGATTTTAAAGCCTACTGAATGCTTCATAAGCAACTGTGAACATACCTGAAACAAACAAAAAAATACAAAGACTCAGAAACAAACAGAAGACCCAAAGAATCCATGCCAACATACATTATAATTAAACTTCTGAAAACTAAAGACAAAGAAAAAACTGAAAGTGATCAAAGACAATCAGTACCTTTACTATAGGAAAAAACAATTCTGATAAAAGCAGATTTCTAAAAACCAGGGAGACCAGAGGAAGTAGCATGATATTTTTCAAGTGCTGAAAGAAAGAAAAAAAAAAACTGTCGACATAGAATCCTATACCCAGCAAAAACACTCTTCAGCAATGAAGAAAAAATAAAAACATTCTTAGATGAAGGAAAACTAAAAGTATTTTGTTGCTAGGAGACCAGCCCTAGAAAGAATGACTAAAGGAAGCTCTCTAAACAAAGTTCTCTAAACAAAGAAACAACGTAAGAAGGAACCTTGAAACATCAGAAAGGAGAAAAGAATACAGTAAGCAAAAATGTGGCTAAGTACAGCAGGCTTTATTCTTTAACTATCAACTTAGTCCTCAACAATGCTCCTAACAACATCCATTTTCATTATTCCCACCACCCTCCAAAAGAGACATCTCAGTTCTTAGGTGAGATTCCTCTCATTCTCTGTGATGACAGTCATTCGGGCCATGGTTTCCAAACTGTATACCAAGGTACCCAGGGCATGATGGCAAACCTTGCAAGGCACTGCAGGACAGTTTAAATTTTTGAGGGAATCACAGCAATATCTGTTGAACACTGTGTGAACTGCCAGCTCAAGGTAGTTCACAATTCCTACTGCTATATTCTTTTTAAATAATATCATATTTTTGTGAAGCTGGGTTTTGGAAGTTGCTGTGATAAAAGATATAATGAGAAAATCAATGTGGAAGAGGAATGATGGTGGAACGTCCATTCTCACTGCAAGGTTTGAGAAACTGCAGTGTCCAACAGGTGTTAAGCTGTCAGGACATAGACAAGTTGTTTCAACCTAACTTCTTCATAAATGGATGGGTATTCTTTTTGGCCTAGAGGTGCTATATAAAAATTACTGAGATTTATATGGATTTTATGAGTGAAGAAAATTTATGAAACTTTGCATTAGGATAAATAATCATTTACTATGTCATGTACTAGAATTGTTACCCAATCCCCATAACATTTTTGTTGCACATGACTCCTTTGTCAATTGGTGCTAATGCCATTCCTAATGTCTAGACTTACCCATATCTGTGATATTCAAAGTCTTAGCATCTGTCTCATGATTTGCACATTCAGCCTCCAATACTAACAAAAGATTCAAGGAAGGTACTATATAACACTTCAAAGAGGAGAAGGTAATCTTTTCTTCCAAGTATATACAAAGCTGTTACTCATTTACAGAT